AGAGGACATGTTACTTGAAAACAGTTTTATGACACTGATTCTTAGATGCTATTTAGATGTTTTCAAGTGGCTAGATCACTAGGTGTGGGTAGGAATCCAGCTCCTTCGATAACCTAAACTATTACTTCAGGGATGAAATAGGATTTTTAATGTTCCAAATAAGCTTTCTGGATTTCTTCAGGAGACTGGACTGAACTGTGAACTGCTCAGACACTGAGAGTTTACTCTTTCCCAGCCTTGGCTTTCTTTACTCTTTAGAGAAAGAAATTAATGAAATTGCATTAGACATATTTTACTCCCCAACTTTTTCTCTTGAAAAGTTTAAATATACAGAAAAACTAAAATGCAGTACAATGAACGTCCATATTTCCTTCATATGGATTCATCAGTTGGTAACATTTTGCCAGTTTGTTTTGTCTCTCTGTTATTTATATGTGGATGTGAGAGAAAGACAAAACGATATGTATATTATAATATGAAAAGATACAGCAGCATAATGTTCTATATATAGATATCTCATATATATATATATGTGTGTGTAAAAATGTAGTAGTTCTTGACACTTCATCTCATAGGGATTGTATTAGTTTGGGTTACAATAACAAAGCACCATAGACTGGGTAGCCTATAAACAACAGAAGGGTATTTCTCACAGTTCTAGAGGCAGGAAGTCTAAGATTAGTGTCCCAGCATGGTTGGGCTCCGGTGAGGGCCCTGTTCCAGGTTGCAGACTGCTGACTTATTGTAACCTTAGATGACAGAAAGGCCCAGAAAGCTTTCTGGGAATCCTTTTACAAGGTCACTAATCCCATTCATGAGGGCTCTACCCTTATGACCTAATCACTTGTCAAAGGCCCTATTTCCTAATACCATCACCTCGGGGTTAAGGTATCAATATCACAATTTTGGGGGAGACACAAACATTCAGTCCATTTCGGGAATAGTTTAAAATCATTTCTAAACATCTCAACGAAACATACATTCCTAACATGATTGTATTCAGAGTGAATTAAAAATGCATTGAGCAGTATCTCCTGAGCTAGACTTTAAAAGTAGTCTTTAGTAAAAGCGAACGCACACCTTGCCCCCACCCCCACCCACACACTCACCCTTAATTTCTGGGACCTTGTTGATCTGAATATATGGAACCATCTGAAATAGCCAATAATCACTGTTGTTCTTAACGACATCATTTTATAAAACGTTTTTTCTTTTTTTGAGATGGGGTCTAGCTCTCTTGCCCAGGCTGGGGTGCAGTGGCGTGATCTTGGCTCACTGCAACCTCCACCTCCTGGGTTCAAGCGATTCTCCTGCTTCAGCCTCCCAAGTAGCTGGGATTACATGTGTATGCCATGACACCTGGCTAATCTTTGTGTTTTTAGTTGAGATGGAGTTTCACCATGTTGACCAGGCTGGTCTCAAACTCCTGACCTCAAGTGATCTGCTCACCTTGGCCTCCCAGAGTGCTGGGATTACAAGCATAAGCCACCACATCCGACCTGTTAACATTTTCTAATTTAGTAAAAACAAAGAGTGGGTAAAGCAGCTCACTGAATGGTTGAGACCCAAGCTGTCTTCCATGGACTGCCAAGTTGCCCTGCTGAAGAGTATCAGATAACATTCCTTTCAGTTATAGAAAACCTTTCTTTCAGTTACAGTAATCTTAAAATGTTATGTTTCATGTTTTTTAAACTGTGAAAACAGTTTTTAAAACTTGCTGAAAGTATGGCATTCTAGATTTGTGCCAGATGTCCATTAAGTGATTTACAAATGTTGAGAATCTAAGGATTCTTAGAATTCTTACTTACGGAAGTTTTTGTGTTCATCCAAACTAAAATTGTCATGCAAAGGGTCCCTATTAAATACTCTCAAAACAATTTGACCTAATTGACATTTATAAAACAATAGCAGAATATGCATTTTTGGAAAGTGCACATAAAATATTTACCCAACAACGATCACCTAATTTTTTTTAAAAGAAGTTTAAATAAAATTAAAACTTTGGTTGGAAAACTCTCTTCTTCTGTCTCCAGTGATTCAATTAGGGAAGCTGTTAATAGGTAGGAAGGGAAAGAAGCCAGCTCATGACTTAATAGATATCAACTACTCAAGGTGTTATACAGTAAAAATCTTCCTTCTGTTTCAAACCAAAACTAAATAAATGAAAATTATAACATGGAACATGGTGTTCAGGCTTATTAAATTATACATTTTTTTCTGCCTCTTAATAGGAAAAAACATTTTATCTAGAAGGACTTGGAGTTTGTAGTTACAGTGAGTTTCCATATATTTTATATATCAATTACTAATTTTCAAAGAACTAAAACATTATATACTATATACTATTATATGCTATAAAATAAATATACTTAATAGAAATTATACTGAGCATATGTAAATCTTTCTTTCAAGATGCAGAAACCACCACATCTAAAACTGAGGGTACATTAATCATGAATTAATATAGGACGTGAGCCCAAATTTAAAATATTTACTCATAGTGTTACTTCGCATGAAATTGTGATCTGCCCTAGCAGACTTTAACATTGAATGTGTGTATCTTGAAGGAGGAATATCACAAACGTGACTTCACGGAGGTGCTGTCTCCCAATATGTACAACAGTAAACTCTGGGAAGCCTCAGGCCACTGGCAGCATTACAGCGAGAACATGTTTACCTTCGAGATTGAAAAGGACACTTTTGCCCTCAAACCCATGAATTGTCCAGGGCACTGGTGAGTATTAAAAGTGAAGCAGATCTTTTCATGAGAGCACATAGCATACTTCATCACAATTAGCTTTTAATACTGTTTTGCTTTGTGGAATAAAAGAATCCCTTTAATCTGAAGAGTGGTGATTACTAATTTTTACTAAGTTGTTTCATTCTGGAGAATGGACTTACTTTTGAAAATATATTTGATCTTTGGCAGGTATGGAATGTTAGCTGGTAACCACTGCATTTTAAAGGATAATGTTATGTGTCAATTTTGTAAGTTTTATAATATTTGTCTTCCTAATAGTAATGCACTTCAGATGTTCAATTTGCAGAATAGTTAGTTCTTTCATACCATTTGGGTGGATTGTAACAAGATCAATGAGGTTATAATCAATGGCTTTCTGGATTTCATTGATTCCAAGATACCATTTTTCTTCCACACTTCAAAATATCTGAAGTTGAAATGCATATTATAGTTGGTGGCATCGTGGCATTTTATCATAGTTTAATTAATAGGTTATTTTCTTTCTTAGTATCACATAAAGGTACATTAAATAATCAATGCTGTCTTTGATTCTATGAAAGACTATAATTATCATAAAGTTGGTATGCAAATTCAATCTTGAAAGACAAACATATTTTACAGTTGAAACTGAATAGGCATAATTGTCTACCAAAAAAATCCCAACAATCGTAGTTTTTTGTATTATCAACATACACGGTTTCAAGTAAATTTATATAGAAGGTAATAAAACCAATATCTGAATACTGAAGAAAGCTCTTTGCCCTTTCAAGTGAAGATTAGAAGAAATTTAACTTTATGATGATGTCATGTAAAAAATATATGTAACTTTAGTTTTAGGAATACTGGTATATAAACATTCTATACCATCGCTTTTTAAACAGAAGGTAGAAGCTACGCTATTGCTTTGCATTGTAAAACACTTCTGTTAATTTCTTAACTCATTTTTTTCAAAGCCATTTTTTAAAATTATGGCCTTAGACTTCAGCTATAATGAAAGTAGAGAATTTAAGTTTGTCTTTTCACACCTCAGAATAAGGAAGCAAGACCACTGTGGCTTAGAGGGGTTGGGATATGGGATCCAGGAATGCTTTCAGCAGGAGAGAAATCTTTCATTCAATAGGGAGCGTTAGTTGAGTGCTTCGTACGCTTGGAGCTAGAAGCTCGGAGGTGATTAAGACACAATCCATACCCTCATAGAGCTCATGAGCAGAGTGGTCAGGGCCATGCATGTAGGCAAGCAGTTATAAAAAGACCAGTGCTGTAATGGTGGCATGTTCAAAGTGTTCTAGGAGCCTGAGGAGAAACTGCCTAGCTCTGTGTAGAGAAATGTCTAGGAGGGCTTCATTCAAGAAGCATCCTTTGAAATGAATCACAAGCAGTAAATTGTGATTCACTGTGTGGTTGAGGGCAGGGAAGAGCATTTCTGGAAGGAGATAATAGACAAGCTTCTTTCCCAGAGTGCTGCAGTGATGTAAACGCAAGGTTCACTAATTCGTGGAAGAAATTTTTTTTTAACCTGGTGATCTAAGAACTAGAATAAGGAATTTACGGATCTTGAGGCTTAATTGTAATTTCTTTATATTCAGATAATTATTTAATCTTTTCTGTGCTTTGTAAAAGCTGTGTGCTACTACATCTTTTCTAGTCTAATGTTTGCCCATCGTCCACGATCTTGGAGAGAAATGCCTATTAGATTTGCTGATTTTGGAGTTCTGCATAGAAATGAACTGTCAGGGACTCTCAGCGGCTTGACCAGAGTGAGGCGCTTCCAGCAGGATGATGCTCACATCTTTTGCACAGTGGAGCAGGTAAACAATAACACAGAGTGAAGCATGGTGGTCACAAATTCAGTATGATGCCCCAAACACATCTTGTATTCTTTCAGAGTTACTGAAACAGATGTTTGGTCTAGTCTCTGAGATCTCATTCAGCTCTAGCCTGCTGTGATTCTCTAAATTAGGTCAATAGATTAATAATCTTTTGACATGAAATGTATTACTTTTTCTTTGGCTTCCTTCAATGATTTTATTAACCTAAATTCCATTAAGTAGAGTATTTTAAGGGATTTGGTGGAATTCTGGAATTCTGGATGTTTTGTTTTTCAGTATTGCCTAGAACTTAAAATTTACTTTTTCAAGTTTTTGTGTTAATTCAAATTAAAATTGCCATACAAAGGGTTTCCGTGAAACAATTTGACATAATTGATGTTTATAGAAAAACAGCAGAATATACATTCTTTGGTTTTTCTTTTTTTGGTTTATGTTGAATGGCTAATGTGCCAATGTTGTACCAAGCTATGAGGGCGCACATCTTACGCATGTGTGTATACCTAGTCATCGTGCTTATGAACCACAAAAGGGTCAGAATATTTGTTCTTTGAAACTGCACAGAGAATATTTACTAGGATAGACCATATTCTGGGCCATAAAACAAGTCTCAATAAATTAAAAGGGATTTAATTTAAAAAATGTTTTAATTAACCCTAATGTTTTAACTTAACCCTAATGTTTAACCCTAAACCTAACTGACCACAATAGAATTAAAATAGAAATCAATAACACAAAATCCAAAGGAAATTAAAAAAAAATTTATATAACAAATGAAAATAAAAACACATACATTAAAATTTGTGGGATGCCATTTAAGTGGTATTTAGAGGGATGTTTATAGCACTGAATACCTCCATTAGAAAAGAAAAATCAATGACTTAGCTTTTACTTAAGATAGAAAAAGAAGAACAAATACACCCAATGTAGTATGAGCAAAAGAAAGAAAATAAGAAAGAACAGCAGAAATCATTGAAATAGAAAAAGAAAATAGAGAATATAAATAAAACTAAAGCTGGTTCTCTGAGAAGATCAATAAAATTGATAAATCTTTAGTCAGACTGATGGGGAAAAAAGAGAAGACACAAAAAATGTTAGGAATGAGACAGATGTCATTACTACAGATTCTGTAGCTATTAAAAGGATAAGGCAGTTTTCTGAATAACTTTATGCTAATATATTTGACAGCTTAGATAACATGGATAAATCCTTGAAAGACACAAGCTATTAAACTTTACTCAAGAAGAAGTAGATAATCTGAATAGCCCTGTGTCTACTACAGAAATCAAATTGATACCTAAAAACCTTCCCATACAGAAAACTCCAGGCCAAGACGGCTTGACTAGTGAATTCTACCAAACATTAAAGAAGAAATACTAGAGATACTCAACCAGAAAATTGAAGAGGAGGAAATCCTTACCACCTCATGAAGCAAATGAAGCTAATATTGCTCTGATAGAAAAATGAGACAAAGAAGTTAAAAGAAAGCTACTGAACAACATCTCTCATGAACATAAAGTAAAAAAATTTAAACAACATTTTAGTAAGTCAAATCTAGTAGTTTTTAAAAGAAGGATAATAGATCTTAATGAAATGATCTGAATCCCAGGAATGAAAAGTTAATTTAACATTAGAAAATGAATCATTGTAATTTCCCACTTTCACAAACTAAAAAAGAAAACAAACAAAAAGACAAAAAACATATGATCTTCTTAGTAGATGGAAGAAAAAGTATTTGGCAAAATTCTACATCCACATCTCATAAAAACTCTCAAAACTAGGAATGGAGGGAACTTGCTTAACCTGATAAAAAGGCCTGTATGAAAAACCTGCAGCTAATATCATACTTAATCGTGAAAGTCTGAATGCTTTACCCTTAAGATCAGGAACTAGGTAAGGATTCTCTCATTACTTCTCTGATCATTGTACTGGAGGTTCTTTCTGATGCAGTAAGTTAAGAAAGAGAAAATGAAAAACCATCTAGATTGGAAAGAATTAAAACTCTTCTAAATGACATGATCATCTATGTAGAGATTAGATGGAATCTACAAAAAAGCTATTAGAAGTAAGATGAATTTAGAAAATTGTATGGAATATCAATATATAAAAATCAATTGTATATGCATTTCATAACAATGAACCCTTGGAAATTGCAGATAAGAAACAATAATTATAATAGCATCTCAAAACATATGATAATACTTTCAGATAAGTATTCTCCAGAGAAATAGAGATAGTAGGATATATAGATACATGAGGAAATTTGTTACAGGAATTGGCTCACTTGATTTTGGAGACCGAGAAGCCCCATGATATGCCAGTTACAAGCTGGAGAACTAGGAACGCTAATGGTATAACTCCCAGTCTGAGGCCAGCAGCCTCAGTGGGGTGAGCAGAGTCCAGGGAGCTGGTGTAAGTCACAGAGTTGGTGGGCCTGAGAACCAGGAGCTCAATGTCTGAGAAAATAACAGTCACAGTTAAAAAAAATAGATTTTGTCCTTCCTGCTTTTGAGTTCTGTTCCTGCCCTCAACAGATTGGATGAGGTCCACTCACATTGGTGAGGGTAGAACTTCTTTATCCATTCCACTGTTTATGGGGAGCTAGGTTGATTGCGTGTCTTTGCTACCGTGTATAGTGCTGTAATGAACACGAGGGTGCATGTGTCTTTTTGGTAGAAAAACATCTGANCATCTCTTCCAGAAATACCCTCATGGACATTCCCAGAAATAAATGTTTTAAGGGCGGCCAGCTGTCTGGCATCTCCTAGCTCAGTCGAGTTGACACTTGAAAGTAGCCATCACAAGGCATTATCCTCAGCAAACTTACACAGGAACAGAAAACCAAATTTGTATGTTCTCACTTATAAGTGGGAGCTGAACAATGAGAACACATGGACACAGGGAGGGGAACAATACACACGGGGGCCTGTCAGAGGAAAGTGTGGGGAGGGAGAGGGTCAGGATAAATAACTAACGCATGCTGGCCTTAAATACCTAGGTGATGGGTTGATAGGTGCAGCAAACCACCATGGCACACGAATACCTGTGTAACAAACCTGCACATCCTGCACATGTACCCAGGAACTTAATAATAATAATAATAACAAAACAAGGCTGGGTGTGGTGGCTGACACCTATAATCCCAGCACTTTGGGAGGCTGTTGCAGGTGGGTCACTTGAGGCCAAGAGTTCGAGACCAGCCTGGCCAACATGGTGAAACCCCATCTCTACTAAAAAAAATACAAAAATTAGCCAAGCATGGTGGCGAGCACCTGTAGTTCCAGCTACTCGGGAGGCTGAGGCATGAGAATTACTTGAACCCAGGAGGCAGAGATTGGAGTGAGCTGAGATTGCACCACTGCATTCCAGCCTGGGAGACAGAGCAACATGGTCTCAAAAAAACAAAACAAAACAAAATAACCATCACATTTAATGAATGAAAGACTTGATGTCTCAAATCCATCAAATTCCCTGCATTTCACCTGCTACTCTCTGGTTTAAGCCGCTGTCATCTTGCTCCTAAATGACTCCTCCAGCTTCCTGTTGGGGCTGTCTTCTAATTTTGCAAATTCATTCCTCATACTGTGAAAGAACACATTGGGTCATGTTAGTTTTCTGCTTAAACGAAACAAAAACCCTTCATTGCCTCCCCGTTGGTCTCAGGCTAAAAAGTCCATACATTCTCCTGGCTTTGAAAGCACTTAATTTTTTCTGGCCCCTGCCTGCCTCTAGCCTGCTCACCTACCACACTGCCCCTCTCCCCTTTATCCCATCATATGCAGCCCCCTGACTTAGCCTGCTTATCTTTCTGCTGAGACTTCAACTCAGTGTGTCCTCTGCTCACAGAGCTCCTAAGCCACCTCCATGCCGAGCGCTTGCTTGTCCCCTGCTCTAGCTGCGTCTCACTTTCTTTGAGTGGCCCCTCCTTGCTGCTCTCCTCTGCATGCTGCAGCCTTTTCACAGTGTAGTTCCCTCACCACTTCTGCTCCATTTTCTGCACTGGCCTGGAGCCACTGCCAGTCCCCACCTGCCTACCACTCAAATGAAGGTTCAACTCAGGATTGGTTGAACAACCAAAACAGGGTCATCAACTGCTCTCCATTAAAAACACACTTTATTTCTATCTGACATGAAGAGCTTTATTTTTAAAAGCATAAATGAATTTAATTTGGTGTTCTATTTGAATGTTTCATTTGCTTTGATTTCAGATTGAAGAAGAAATAAAGGGATGTTTGCAGTTTTTACAATCTGTTTACTCAACATTTGGCTTTTCCTTTCAATTAAACCTGTCAACAAGGCCTGAAAACTTCCTAGGAGAGATTGAGATGTGGAATGAGGCTGAGAAGGTAAGAGTCACACTTTGTGCTTCCTCTTCGTTTTAGTCTTGTGGAAAATACCTTTGCAGGAGGATGCGATAATTTGTAACAGAAATTTTGAAATTGGGAATTATGGGATAAATTTATAGGTTGTGGAATGTGGTTATCCCATTTTCTTTGTAAAAGTGATAATAATACCTTACATTTGTTTCACACTTAAAGTTTATATCTGGCTTTTATTTATACTCTTTCAGTGCTAGTCACTAATAACTGGCCCAAGCTTTTAAAGAAATCCTCTTATTTGCTGTGACTCTTGGGTTGTGTGGCTTATTTTAAACCATTGCCTGTTGAGTCATCTTAGTCTTACTGTGGGGTCTGGGGGCTGCGTGATCTAGACGGAGATGTGCATACTTGATGCTGGAGTACCTTTCACAGTCACGTCCTGTTGTGCCCTGCCCCGTGTCTGTCTGAAGACACCCCCACACAGATGTTACAGCTAAGCTTTGCAAAACCAAGATAAGGGGCTCATCATGTTGCTTTCTTTTTTTCTTATTAAGCACAAAGGATATAGTGTGTTTCCTGTGTTCACTTTTATTAAAAATGAGGATAGTGTCACGGCCAGACACCCGGCTCTGCCTGTTAGCTGTCTTCTTGGAATATAATAGTCCCCACTTATCCATGGGGAATAAGATTCCAAGTGGATTCCTGAAACCCTGGATGGTATCAAATAGATGGCAAACAGGACATGTTTCTGTTCATGCCTTCAACTTACAAATCTAATGCCGTTTCTTATCTTAAGTAAGCACTTTTCATGCAGTGTGGCTGGAATTTTTGCATTGTGAGGTGCAACAGCAAAACTAGCATGAGTTGCTTTTTCCTTCTTCACTAATTCACAACTTACCCAGTGGATAGAAGATTTTTTTTTAATCATAGCTCTTAGCAACTTCAGCGTAGGATTATTTTTTCCTTATTAAATGGATAACTTTCACCTTTTCACTTAAAGGAAGCATTTTGTGGCTCCACTCTGGCATATCCAAATTGCTAGCATCACAACTCTTGTGCTTTGAGGCCATGGTTAAGGAAAATAAGGGTTACTTGAACATAAGCACTGTGATACTGCATGTTTGATAAGCATGACAGCTTCTAAGTGACTAACTGCAGGGTGCAGTGCATCCAGCGTGGAGACTGGACAAAAGGACAATTCCCATCCCAGGTAGAT